TGCAGAGGAAAGGAAATTCCTGAAAGGCCTTAATATGGAAACTAATTAATTTCTGGTGGGATTGACAATTTTTTTTTTTGAGAGAAGAAAACTGCCTTTATCGGAAAGTTAATTAAGGCAAATTCTTAATTAAGGGAAGCTTAATTAAGGTAAGATTGCTGGAGAAGAAATTCTTGGAAACTTAATTAAGACAAATACTTAATTAAGAGCATAATTAAGGGAATTCAATTTCGGGAAGCAAAATTAAGGGAAATATTTAATTGGAAATATTTCAAACATTTCTGCGGATCATAATTTCCTTTCGCTAAGGAAGGCGAAGACAGAGAGCGGCCAAGGGCTCTCCCCAGAATTCGGCGCTGAGAAGGGACTCCAACTTGGGAAGGGAATCGAGGAATATTCTCTCCTGAATAAGGGAAGTAAGGCAAGCTCGACAAGGAATCAAAATTCCTCTCTAATTAGGGAATATTCCCCGTTAATCGAGGAGATTAATGGCGCAGAGAAGGAAGGGCTCAATTAAGAAAAGCTTTTTTGCTGTCAATTGCGGAGAAGGAAATGATTAATTAAGGAGAACTTTCTGCTGTCGATCGCGGAAAAAGAAACTGATTTTTCAAGGAAACTTAATTAAGGAGAATACTTAATTAAGGGGAAATAGTGATTTTCGGCTTCAACAAATTTGGCAATCGAACAAAGGAGTTCCACCAAGCTTGTGCGGTGATTTGTAGATCGCCACTGCAGGAGTTCGCCGGTTTGGTGCTAGCAGTTACCACTACGAACAAAGTCGCCAGTTGTGCGGAGGTTTGCAGGAGAAGGAAGCCTCGGAGAGGTCTCAGTTCCGGCAGCAGGCGGAAGCATCGCGGTAGTTAGCATGTTCCTTCAGTTCCTTCAGACTTTGGTGCTAGCAGTTCCTTCAGGAGAGTTCAGTCCAACGGGAAGCAGTTCTCAGAAGCAGTTCTGACGGGAAGCAGTCCGCAGAAGCAGTTCAGCAGCGGAGCTGTTCCATAGGCGCGACAGTTCGCGCAGAACAGGTGGAGCGGCGGCGGTTCCTGCAGTTCTTCGAGTAGCTACAACTCGCAGGGGCGTGCTTCTGGTTCTCAAGGGGTGTCACGACGATTCGCGATTGCTCGCGGGAAGACGTTCGACTAGGTGGAGGTCATGGCCA